GTTTCCTTATAATATTTAACAGGAAATTTTTTAAGTCCAAACAGAGCTGAGTACAGCTTTAGACAAACAATAGAATATTTTTGGAAATCCAGATTTAAATGTGCATTTCAATGCTTTTGAAGAATGCTTCAATCTTCCACTTAAAAGATATATAATATCCTTTAAAAAACAACTTAATCTATCTTTATTACAAATACTGAAGAGCTAGATGATGCCCAGAATATGAAAGATACTGATTCAAGATTTTTCAAAAATATGTTTTTAGATTTTTTTTTTATTATTCTTGAAGAAAAGAGAATGTTTCTGTTTATTCTGTATTAACGTGTTTCGTCAGTTTGATTACAGACGCTTGTTATTAGTTGATTTGGATTATTTTACAGTAAACACATCTGAAAGAATAAATAAATCTTATTTGTAGACCAAAATGTAGTATCAATAATGAAGAGGCATTCCTTTCCTCTGAAAACTTTGTTTCACCAAAAAAAAAAAGACAAAAGGTGCTGGAAGAGACAAAGGCAAAGGCTTAGTATTCCTCCTGTAATGCAGCAGACATGGTAGTTTTGCTCCATGTGTGGTCTGGGCCTGATGATAGCTTGCTTGCTATTTTTGGAATCCTGTCTGTCTCCACTGTAATTTCCATAAACTCTTTTATTCCTCACTACACTGGATTCACTCCACAATGATTTTCATGTCGTAGATTCTGGAGTCAGAATGGTGCTGAGCATAAGTTTCTCAATTTTTCTCTAGTTCGAGGGGAAAAGTACATGATGTGGGACACATCTTCCTAGCAGAAACATAAAATCAGTCATTTCCAAATTGATTTGTCTTTTAACTAGACTAAGGACAGGCTTCACTCCTAGAAAACAGATGTGAATTTGCAGAAGTTGTAACTGCTTAAAGAAAATTTGGCTTTGATTGTACAGAAGGTGCAGCCCCCCAGCGTGACAGTGCTGTCACTACCTGTTCTTCAAATTCTTTAACTAACTCTTATGCCTGTGGTTCTTGTCCCATTATGAAATGTTGCATCAATAGTGTAGCTTTGTGCAGCTTCTGTTTCTTACTGGACAGTTTTAAATAAATTTTCTATCTAATTCTGCTGAACAATATTAAAGATACGAAATAGTCACAAAAGAGAAACCATAACCTGTCCACTAATCCTTTTTGGAGTTCCAGAAGAAACTCAATGAGTCAGATACTGATTAATTTTGTTTTCCATGGGCTTTAAACTTCTGTTCACTTACTTGCCCAGTAATCAATGAAAAGCATGTATTTTTTTTTTTTCTTCTGATTATTCCAAGGGCATTTGTATAGGAAATTTTTATACGTACTTAGGGAATGTAGCCTAACTCTCTTGAGGTAATAGAGGAGCTGAGCTAAAAGTCATGGGGTCAGAATTTGAAAGGATTCCTCTCGCTCTCTTCACTGCCAGGTGATACGCAAATCACTGCCTCATATCAGTTTTCTCATGAGTGTAAGTAGGGCTAGATGATGTCACCTCTGAAAGCTGCATTGAGATGTAGGAGAATGATATTACTGTGTACCACAACTTCAGAGATAACCCTTATTCTCAGCATCCCATTTTATGTCCTTGTCCTCCTTGGGCTAGAACTGTATCTGCTATGTGATAAAGCTAAGACAGCAGATATAAAACACACTGTGCAAAATAAATCCCCGTCACAAAGCTAACTCACTTAATATGTTACTCTCTACATATAGAGCAAACTGACTGATTTAGAAACACTCGCTTTGCTGATAGCAACTCTAAGCCACGATTTGGATCACAGGGGAGTGAACAACTCTTACATACAGAGGTAAGTCCAAGATAAGTTAAATAAAAACAAATGAATACCAAAATTGCAGGGCTAAATTAAGTACAACCTATTTGACTTGATAATGTGAGGCTGTGTAACGAAGCAGGTTTTTAACAAAGTAGTAAGTGCAAGAACAGCCAGAAACGTTAAAGGGTCCACAGCAAAGATGCACAACCTCCGTCGCTGACTAATTAAAATGGCAGATGAAGCAAACTCTTTGCAGACTGTGCAGGGGCAGCATCTTTCAGCTCCTGCTTCAGAAATCACATCCCCCATTTCCCATACAGTGACAGCAAAAGGTTCCAGCTTCTAAGGGACAGCTTGCAGGAAACGTGGAGCTTTTCAGATTTCTCCCTGCCCAGCCAGCTGTTCCCTGTCTAGTCTCAACCACCACTGAGCAGAGATCCACCGCCATCTGATACCACGGTGTGTCCCTACCATCTTGAACTCATGTTTTTCTATAATTCTACGTTGATTTGGATAACTTATATATTTAAAATCACATTACAAATGTATGACTGTTTTGAGTTGATTTGGGATTATCTGTGCTTTTCAACTTTGATCAATTCCAGAATTACAGAGAAACTTTTCCAACATAAAAAGTCAAAATATACTTTGAAACAAATATTTTTATTAAACAAAATATTTCACTTTGAAGTTATCAAAATGGGACATCTGAACTCTTCTAAAATTTCCTCCATATTTTAATTTTTAACTAAAAATACTTAGGTTTTTTTAGAACTTACCAGTAGTTTCAGATCTGCCCCAAATGTATTTTTCAGTGAATTTAGTATTCTCTTCATGTAACAGTATATGTTCTTAGCTTAAATAAATGGCTTGACTTAAAAAACATGGTATAATGTGATTACTGTGATATGGCAATGTGTCCTGATCTGACCAGAGATGGGGAAAAGATACCTAGAAGCACATACTTGTATCTTTTTCTGGGAGAGTTGGAGAGTGGTTTTGAAGCTACCTTTGGAAGAAGCGGTCTGCTGTTTTCTGTGTGTGTAGAGTAAGATACTAGGGGTGGAAAAGTTTGTTTGAGGTGGAGAATACTGAAAGGCAGAAAGTAAGTAAGCTGAAGCAGAATTCCACCCATTCATATATATGTGTTCAGAATAACACTAAGACTGATGCATAAAGCAAAGAAAAAACAACCAAAATCCCCAAAATTGAAAGAGTAACCACCTTCTAGTTCCTTAATAGGGGATTCCAGCAGTAACTGTAACCTTGCAGCGATTGGAACCAGTTAGCTATTTTTTGCTTTATTTATTTAAAAATAAATTTCCTGGAAGACATCTGGAGATGCGTCATCTCCTCTCAAAAATGTCCTGGGAAAGTGTCATACACAGCAAAATCTAACATTTGCACATGCTGCAAAGCGGCAACGATTACAGCTTAATAAGTCTTTTGCAATAGAAAGTTCAATGAATTTTGTTTTTTAAATTCCTAATTTAATTGAAAAGTTAGTTTTCTAGGAATGGATCCTTTTTGTTTCTTAAGTATCTTGTGGATACTTAGCATATGATTTTTTTCTTAAGCAACAGGGTTTCAAAAATTAAAATGATCCTGGTAGTAGAAATTACGGGAAAGAAACTGCTAAAAGGGCTTTTGCTAGATAGGCTGGGGGTTTATTTTCTTTTTCTTCCAAACCCACATGTAAAGTAGGCAAGCCCAGAGTATGAACAGTGCATAACCAAACCACTGTGTTCAGGAGGCAGTGGTGTCCTTTAGTTCGGCGCAGTGGTTTAACAGAAATGCTGTGTACTACAGTAGTAGGACCCGAGTTTATTTCCAGCACTTGCGCTTCCCAGACAGGCAGGGTCTGTCAGTACCAAGCAAGCTCTAGTTTGGTGCAGAACTTGGGAAGATAAACTAAGATATTTTTCACATATTTCTCCCTTCAGTTAGGATGAACTTTAGGGGACACAGCATGCATCCCACTTAACTCAATGGGAATTTCACCCAGCATGCATTGGCACCATCATAGAGTTTGTTTCAAAGCATATTTGCTCTATACGCCTTTTGCAGTGGTCTCAGAGGAGGTACTGGGCAGCCAGCCCAAAATCCTCAGGGGCTTGCATCCTTTAATCTCCCTTTCCGCATTTTAGTTTGTTTTTCCATCTTTTTCTCCACATTTTTGTGCTTCTTAAATCCCCAAAGTCTCCTCTTAGGACTTTTGTTGAGTCTGTGTGTGCACTCACTTACATAGTGACTCACTTACCTAGGGACCTAATCCTGCACCCACTAATTCATGTGAATGATCCTTAACCATACAAAAATTCCCAAGGAACTACATGCTAAAAAAGAGTTTCTGACATGATTAAATATTTGTAGATCAGATTATCATTAAGAGTAATGGATTCAGGATCAGCAGCCAAACAGACTTGCAAAAGAATCACTATTTATTTGAAGAGATGACATAAGCAACTAGGTGGGACCAGGGTCTGAAAGTGAAGATACAGGAGCAAAAATTAAGAACCATATTATGTAACGAGGAATGGGGGAAATTAGAAACCCTTAGAAAGGAGAAGTTTATATGCTTTATCTAAAGCTACCCAAACAGTAAATTCTATTTTCTAGACTAAGATAGCACTAAATTCTGCATTGGCACAGTTGGTTTCATGCTGGTTTTCTTTGCCTGTAGTACAACCAACATCTTCTTTCACTTTTAGATTTTACCCTGGGCCTAAGATAGGTAACGATATTGCAGTAGTTGGTCATGAAGAGAGTGGTGATGAATGAAGTAGCCGTACAGTTACTACTACTGGGAAATTACTTAACAATTTTGGGCCCTGCAGCACAGTCCACTGAGGTCAGCAGGAAATTTTACCGTGGGTATCAGTGGTCTTAAGATTAGGTCTGCATTTTACGTACAAGTTCAGTAGCTGAGCTGATTGAATATGCTAGGCAGGTGTTCAAAACTGTCACTTAAATTTTGCTTGTGAATGAGCCCTTGTTGTTACCTTCCCCTTTCATACAAGAACTTTCACTCTTCATAAAACTTAGTATTACATTCTCACTCCTTGTGTGCAGCTGGTCTCTACAGGTAACAGAAGGCAGAAAACTAGAGCTGTCAATGCTCTGAAAAGTAACAGCATTGTCTCCCCCTGCATCCTTCCAAATGTATTCACTTTGTTTGGGAAGTTACACAGAAGGGGGAAAGGAACTGGTTAAGAACAAGCCTGAGTGGGTTGGGAAAACTGCTAATGAGAAGATGACATTAAGAGGGAAGTAGTTTCTGGACTAGTAGTATGTTTAATTTGATTTCTGTATCTGATGGGTCTTTTTACTTTGCAGGAGTGAACATCCACTGGCTCAACTGTATTGCCACTCAATCATGGAGCATCATCATTTTGATCAATGCCTTATGATCCTGAATAGTCCAGTGAGTGACACTTTTTTTGTGTACACTGAAGGAAACTATTCCCTAATTTACTTTTTATTTTTAGCTTTTGGATAGATTCCCACCCTTATACATTCCTAAGTGATCTTTATTCCTTTTTGGGTAAAGAAAGCAAATGCAGCAGTTTTGAAATCACAGTTCCATTGCTGAGTGCCACCAACCCTTTCCAAATGTTGCCTGATAAGGGGAGCCTTTCTAATATCCTTTTGAGTACCTGCTTCCTGGGACCAAAGGAAACAAAAGGCTTTGTTGCCATTATCATGACCTCTTATGAACCACCAAACAAGCCCAAGTCCTTGCTCTCATTCCAAAAAACATTCCGGCCTACACATACACAAAGCAGTCCTGATGAGACCAAACCAAACACTGCTAATGTTGACATTCCAAAGTGAAGCCAAACCTAAGTTAAGTAAATATGCAAGTAAAATTACATTCTTCTTGATTTATATTATTAACTAATTATAATGGAGGCAAGTTGCTATTTCACCAGCTCCACAGTGCTTTGATTTAACAGTGGGCTGCTGAGCTTATATTTCTGCTTAATAGAATTTAATTGTTATTTATCCTGCTTCATAAGAGGAAAATATTTTCATTTATGTGAGGTTTATAGGCAGGTACTGGAATCCATTATAGTTCCTCTGCTTCAGGGAAGGATCAGGGGGTAGATGAGAGAGAAATCCTACAACACAGCTAGTGGCAAATTTAATTTTGCTGAATGGAATGCACTCAAAGGCTTTGATGTTGCTCTGCTTGCAGTTTCATTTTGTAATAGTCACTTAGGATGCTGTTGCTGTGCAGCTTTCTGCCATTACTCAAGAAGACTGGAATTTTTATTTTTAAATTGGGGAATGAATGTGCAAAAGGAAGCAGGGTAAAAGAACGACATCAGATACGAGCAAGCAACTCATAATGAATTAGCATCCAAGAGACATTTTAGTGCTGTTGCCCATTTTACTAATAACACTGGTTTTGTTTTTTTGTAAAAGGGAAATCAGATTCTCAGCAGCCTTTCCATTGAAGAATACAAGGCCACACTGAAAATGATAAAACAAGCCATTCTTGCCACAGACCTAGCACTATACATAAAGTAAGTCAAAGGCAATTTTGGCTGGATAGTCATTGCTGAATGTTTGAATTGTGTCAGCACGCTGCAAAAACTTTTGGTTTAACCTCTTTTAAAGGAGGAGAGGAGAATTTTTTGAACTTCTAAGGAAGAAGCAATTTAATTGGGAAGATCCTACACAGAAGGAGCTATTCTTGTAAGTAAAAGCAGAATGATGGAAATTGTCAGTAAATATTATTAGATACCTGATTTTCAATGCCATGTTGCTGTGAATTTCATTAAAACCGGCAGACCTGCGTGCTCTGCGCTTGTACAGACTGGCACTAGCACATAGTGGCGGTGACTGAATGACTCCCTGGGTCTGAATTACAAACTCTGCAACCTGCACAATAAACTTCAAGTAGCACGTGGACTTCCGTGAACATTTCTGTCGTTCCCAGGAAACTGTAGGGTTCCTCCCTATGTAGCATGTTCTTTTGCTGTGAGTACTTCATACTTCAATATTGAATTGTTGAAACCAATAGCTGAAGATTCAGGACAGGCAGCTTGTTTTGAAGCTGATTCGTTAATAACAGTGAAATAAAAAGAACATTGAGAATAGAGACATGTATTGTAATGCACAGCTACAGAAAAGCAGGCTTACATAAGCTGTCTTGCAAAGAAAAGATGTCATATTTCAAATTCAGTGCCTTTAAAAACCAGTCTAATTTAGTCATGTTTTATGTCTATTCTTATTCCAGTCCTTGGCCCTCATACTGTCAATCAAATGGCAGTCACTGCTAATGTCATAAATAAATAAACTGCTGTCTGCCCAGTAGCAAATAGAATGAAATAGTTCACTTGAAGTGAATCCACCAAATAAGCTGGTCCAGCTTTGCTCATTTCCATGTGCTCATTTCACACAAATAGTCTACTGCATCACTGAGCCTTGGATACCTTTATAACTTCACTTTAATTTCACTTGTTTCTTTGATGTTCCTTGAAATTTTATATTCTATTTTATTAATCACTTGACTTGGTGGCTACATTTCACAGGGTTTTTTCTGGGTTGTTGTTTTTTTTTCTGCAGAGCAATGCTGATGACTGCCTGTGATTTATCAGCCATAACCAAACCATGGCCAGTTCAGCAACGGGTATATGCTTAATTTTAAGGTTTTCTAAATATAAACACTGCATAACAGCATCTGCTCCTTCCATCCAGTCCTTACTGCAAAAGCAGTGGTGGAATGCAAAGCCTTAGGAAGTACTCCTTCAAAGGTCTTTATAGCAAGATCTGTGGCATTTAGCTATGTCACCATGTTAGCAGTAATCTGAAAGTAAATCAGGAATCTTTGTTCTTTCCAACATTTCTGTGTTACTACAAGGCAATAGTTAACTGATACAACACCTTAGTATCAGCTGACCTTTTTCTGTGTTGATCACTGCAGCTGGTATCAGCGATAAGATGCCTATGTGCCATTTTACTCACTTTGCTTTGTCAGAGTAAATATGAGCACACCGGGTGTTTGGTTTGTGCACAGATGTGTGCATGAAGAATTCTAAAAGCTAGTTGTTAAGCTGGAGAGTTTCCTTATGGGGGGTCCCAATTCAATATATCCTAAGGAAAGGCAGGAAACAGTTTTGACTGTAGGTAGCTAGCAAACTTTCAGAGCTCTCAATGTGTGAAATCTCTTACAGATTGCTGAGCTTATAGCTACTGAATTCTTTGACCAAGGAGATAAAGAGCGGAAGGAACTCAACATAGAACCAACAGTAAGTGACAAAATCACGCAGAATCACGTCTTTCAAAATGGCCTCTACAAACGGCACTTCACATTACTTTCAAAAGCCACAATTTCTCCCACTGACCAGAATATAGGACCAACTCCTTCCCTGTCTCTTCCTAGTAGTCACTTTTCTTCTGTGGCTCCCAGACGCCAATGGTGTGGTATTATCTCTGAGCCAGAAGAACAGACTGCATTATTTCTTCTAAATCAGTATTGTTTAGGAAATATATTCCTAAACTGGTACCTGTTTGCAACCTATGGAAACCCAGTAAGCATGTCTATTCGTCTAGCTATTTCGGCTCTGTCATTCCAAAGACAATCTCCAAAGGCAAGTTATGTAGTCGTATTACCTGCATTGTAACACATGTACTGATACCCTGCTGTGCTGAGCTTGCTGTGCTCTTTAAGGTGCCACTTTTTAATTCCAGCCTTTGGTTTTGGCTGAGGTTTTATTTAATGCATTTAAATACAGAGCTTGTTTACTTCTTATCTGCAGGATCTAATGAACAGAGAGAAGAAAAATAAAATTCCCAGCATGCAGGTTGGATTCATAGATGCTGTTTGTTTGCAGCTGTATGAGGTATGGTGCCTAAGCAAGAATTGCAAATACCTAAATCCGGAACTGTTCACTGTAGCCTGTGACAGATGCAGATTTAAAATTAGAATAAAAATCACATAAAAACTACTCCCTTAGTTAAAAAAGGTTGGTTGTTTTTTTGGTTTTTTTAGTTATATATTGCATATGGTTCATTATTGAGTTGAAGAAATTATTATTAATGGTAAGAAATTATCATTAATGGTATATTTGTCTGATTAACATATTTTGATATAAGAACATGTTGCCTCTTACAGCTTTCAGTCTATCACTCTTGTCATCTTGTCCCAAAGTCTGACTTGAACTGGAACAGCACGTAGCAGGCTGACAGTGACTGGGATTTTTATAGATTGAGAATATGCCAGCATGTGTCCTGACCCAACAGATAAGTGAGAGTGACTTACCTACAGGGGCAGAGAGCACTAAAGAGGATGGGGAGCCCTATGAGGAAGTGGCAAAACCAGTAACAGCACTGGTAAATCCAAGAAAGGGGCTATGGTTTGAGCTGATCCAGTGTTTTGTTTCTTTTGAATGGGGTACAGGTAGGGAATATTACCTGCTTACACAACTTTTTGTTTTCTTTAGTGAGTAATAATGGTAAAACATATAAACAACTTCAGTGTTACTTTGAAAATGAACAGGCAAACAGTTCACTCACCAAATATTCTAATGCTATAACAGCAAACAATAACCAGGGTTGTAATGACAGCCTTTTCATGGTTTTCTTAGATTTCCTCCAGTCAGTAGGAATGTGACAGACAACGCAAACATAAATGAGTTCCCAGTACAGCACTGCAAGTATGTGACTTACCATGTTATTCAGAGTAGGTCAGATCCCAATGAACTGAAGTTTTGTGGCTTATGTTAGCTAGGTAATCAGTGCAGTTAATGATCTACAAGACGTCGTTTTAAGTGAAAAAGTAAGAGCAATGTGTTTCACTCTTTCAATTTTTTTAATAGAAAAAATTACCGTTTAGCACTCTTAAATGCTGTTCAGATACACACAGATAAATAAAACAAGAAAACTACAGAGATGGCAGCCCCATTCTTGTATAGTGGTGTAAACGAACAATAATACAATTAGGTCTACTGGAACTAATGAAGCAGCCTGTAAAGCCAGAAGGATCTATGGAGATTTGTACAAGCTAATAACTCAGTAGGGTCTGTATACAAAGTAACAGGAGAATTAGACATTGCTACCTCAAGTTATTTCAGCAAGACCTGAATTGCATGTGAAATTCTGACTGATGTTACATTTTGCATAGTGACCAGCAGAGGGGCCAGGATTCTTCTCTGTGTACTTTGCAGTTGTCCATAGTAATTACAGAATCAGTGGGCTCAAAC